CCCCACTAGCCGCCTGGCTAGTACACACCAACGGTGACGTCCACAGTGCCCCACTAGCAGCCTGGCTAGTACACACCAACGGTGACGTCCACAGTGCCCCACTAGCCGCCTGGCTAGTACACACCAACGGTGACGTCCACAGTGCCCCACTAGCCGCCTGGCTAGTACACACCAACGGTGACGTCCACAGTGCCCCACTAGCCGCCTGGCTAGTACACACCAACGGTGACGTCCACAGTGCCCCACTAGCCGCCTGGCTAGTACACACCAACGGTGACGTCCACAGTGCCCCACTAGCCGCCTGGCTAGTACACACCAACGGTGACGTCCACAGTGCCCCACTAGCCGCCTGGCTAGTACACACCAACGGTGACGTCCACAGTGCCCCACTAGCCGCCTGGCTAGTACACACCAACGGTGACGTCCACTGTGCTCCACTAGCCGCCTGGCTAGTACACACCAACGGTGACGTCCACTGTGCCCCACTAGCCGCCTGGCTAGTACACACCAACGGTGACGTCCACTGTGCCCCACTAGCCGCCTGGCTAGTACATCTCAAGGTCGACCAAAGTACTTCATCACTGTCTCAGCTTAACTGCCGTCGGTCGCCAATCACCAGTACGACATCACCTCCCAGAACACCAGACTAGAAGACGGGAAACTAATGTTAATGGTAAGGTCAAATATTTAACTCAGAACCTGGATCATAGATGGCGCCGAGGTCCGTCACTCCTATATGTTGAGCTCGTTGGGGCTGACAGTTCCCAAGTGGACATGTGAAGGCATATACGACACTCGTCTCTTTGATAGAGGGAGAGGAGAAGGGGGGGGGGGGTATTGTTTGCCCCCAACCACTTGGGCTGGACGGTAGAGCGACGGTTTCGCTTCATGCAGATCGGCGTTCAATCCCCGACCGTCCAAGTGGTTGGGGCACCATTCCTTCCCCCGTCCCATCCCAAATCCTTATCCTGGCCCCTTCCCAGTGCTATATTTAGTCGTAATGGCTTGGCGTTTTTCCTTGATAATTCCTTCCTTCACCCCCCCCCCCCCCGCTGTGTTGGAGGTGGAGACGTCCCCTTCACAACAGTGGGCCACTTCTGGCCTCTTGTAAACCACAACTTTATCCTGTCTAGGGATATGGTAAAATTCTACAAGTAACACCAACGTGGACTCGGGTAAACTCACCACACACAACAACAGCAGTTTACAGCATCATTTACAACACATTAAAGTTAATAACATTGGAACTTGTCACTGAAGGTAGAGGCTACTAAGCGGAACAGGTTAGGCTTAAGCTGCACGAAACTCAACAAGATTGGTGCACAAGGTCGGCCGAGCGGACAGCACGCTGGACTTGTGATCCTGTAGTCCTGGGTTCGATCCCAGGCGCCGGCGAGAAACAATGGGCAGAGTTTCTTTCACCTGTTACCTAGCAGTAAAATAGGTAGCTGGGTGTTAGTCAGCTGTCACGGGCTGCTTCCTAGGGGTGGAGGCCTGGTCGAGGACCGGGCCGCGGGGACACTAAAGCCCCGAAATCATCTCAAAATAACCTCTCAAGATAGGAAGGTTTACTAGTTGCTGGAAAGTTGAACTAGTCACGAGCTTAGTTCCATAATACTTAGGAACATTGGTCCACTAGACAGTAGTTGAAGTGCACCTAAGTTGATGTGGTTAATTAAGTTGTAATAAATGTGACATTATCCCACTTTAAAATCCTTAGGGACTAACGAGATCAAAGTCTCTTTGGACTCCATTTTAACGTATCCAGTATTGGACAACTTCAAGTCACTAGACATTAACAACATACAAGTCTCTGAGACTCATTGGCAAAGTCTGCAATCACTGAACAAGTTAGAGTCCCAATTGGCTTCACAAAACGACTTAGTCCCCCACATTGACCTTACCTGGCGACGATTTCGGGGCTTAGCGTCCCCGTGGCCCGGTCCCCGACTTAACAAATATAACGTCACTATACACCACGAAATTGTACGCCTATTTAAAGGATATATACTGATAACATAACGACACAGAGCCACAATAAATCACCATCTTACCTTAACATACATGAAAAGTGTGTCACTTTACCCTAGCTCCTCAGAGCTCAATACTACACTACCGATACCTTGCGTGGACCCCAGACCAGTGTGGTGGACCCCTCATGGACCCCAGACCAGTGTGGTGGACCCCTCATGGACCCCAGACCAGTGTGGTGGACCCCTCATGGACCCCAGACCAGTGTGGTGGACCCCTCATGGACCACAGACCAGTGTGGTGGACCCCTCATGGACCCCAGACCAGTGTGGTGGACCCCTCATGGACCCCAGACCAGTGTGGTGGACCCCTCATGGACCCCAGACCAGTGTGGTGGACCCCAGACCAGTGTGGTGGACCCCTCATGGACCCCAGACCAGTGTGGTGGACCCCTCATGGACCCCAGACCAGTGTGGTGGACCTCTCATGGACCACAGACCAGTGTGGTGGACCCCTCATGGACCCCAGACCAGTGTGGTGGACCCCTCATGGACCCCAGACCAGTGTGGTGGACCCCTCATGGACCACATACCAGTGTGGTGGACCCCTCATGGACCCCAGACCAGTGTGGTGGACCCCTCATGGACCCCAGACCAGTGTGGTGGACCCCTCATGGACCCCAGACCAGTGTGGTGGACCCCTCATGGACCCCAGACCAGTGTGGTGGACCCCTCATGGACCCCAGACCAGTGTGGTGGACCCCTCATGGACCCCAGACCAGTGTGGTGGACCTCTCATGGACCCCAGACCAGTGTGGTGGACCTCTCATGGACCACAGACCAGTGTGGTGGACCCCTCATGGACCTCAGACCAGTGTGGTGGACCCCTCATGGACCCCAGACCAGTGTGGTGGACCCCTCATGGACCCCAGACCAGTGTGGTGGACCCCTCATGGACCCCAGACCAGTGTGGTGGACCTCTCATGGACCTCAGACCAGTGTGGTGGACCCCTCATGGACCACAGACCAGTGTGGTGGACCCCTCATGGACCCCAGACCAGTGTGGTGGACCCCTCATGGACCCCAGACCAGTGTGGTGGACCCCTCATGGACCCCAGACCAGTGTGGTGGACCCCTCATGGACCCCAGACTAGTGTGGTGGACCCCTCATGGACCCCAGACCAGTGTGGTGGACCCCTCATGGACCCCAGACCAGTGTGGTGGACCCCCAGACCAGTGTGGTGGACCCCTCATGGACCCCAGACCAGTGTGATGGACCCCAGTCTTGTGAGGTGGACTTCTCGACCTTCCCCACAGGTAACCTCGGGCATTACCAACTGTGATATCTGGTAACTGTCCCATTACCATGGGGCACAGAACCCAGAGCTAAGTCCGTACAAGACATGATGGACTATGTCACCCAAAAGTGTCAGGAGGCGGTAAACAGGTTCATCCCGGCCCAAAAGGAAAAATCCGAGAAGCAAAAGAAGAATCCTGATTTATTAGAGCATGTATGGAAGCAAAGGAGCTGATCAAAAGGGAGGGAGGAACTTCCGAAATTAGAGAACACCAGAAAGTAGAGAGAGATACCAGAGAACCAGAAATGAGTATGTTAGTGTGAGAAGAGAAGCTGAGAAAAAGTACGAAAATTATATAGCAAATATAGCCAAGACCGTACCAAAGCTACTCCACAGTCACATCAGGAGGAAAACAACAGTGAAAGAACAGATGATGAAACTTAGAACAGGTGAGGACACGTATACAGAGAATGACAAAGAGGTGTGTGAAGAACTAAACAAGAGGTTCCAGGAGGTCTTCACAACAGAACAAGGTGAGGTCACCGCACTAAGAGAGGTGACAGTAAACCAAGCGGCCTTGGAAGGGTTCGAAATTACAAGAGATGAGGTCAAGAGACACCTGTTGTATCTGGACCTGAGTAAGGCTGTTGGTCCAGACGGAATCTCACCATGGGTATTGAAAGAGTGTGCAGAAACACTTTGCTTGCCACTCTCCGTAGTGTATAGTATGTCACTGGAGACAGGAAACCAACCAGAAATATGGAAGACGGCGAATGTGGTCCCAATATACAAAAAGGGTGACAGGCAAGAGGCACTGAACTACAGGCCAGTGTCCTTGACTTGTATACCATGCAAGGTGATGGAGAAGATTGTGAGAAAAAACCTAGTAACACATCTGGAGAGAAGGGACTTCGTGACAACCCATCAACACGGGTTCAGGGAGGGTAAATCTTGCCTTACAGGCTTAATAGAATTCTACGACCAGGTGACAAAGATTAAGAAACTAAGAGAAGGATGGGCGGACTGTAGTTTCTTGGACTGTCGAATAAAATTTGACACCGTACCCCATAAAAGGGTGGTACATAAGCTGAAGAAACAGGCAGGAATAATTGTTAAAGCATTCCAGTGGATAAGGGAGTACCTAAGCAATAGGAAGCAGAGAGTTACAGTGAGAGGTGAGACCTCAGATTGGCGTGAAGTCACCAGTGGAGTCCCACAGGGCTCTGTACTTGGACCTATTCTGTTTCTGATATACGTGAATGATCTCCCAGAGAGTATAGACTCATTCCTCTCAATGTTTGCTGACGACGCCAAAATTATGTGAAGAATTGTATATTGAGTGTTTTTAACGTCAGTATTTTATTGTATACAATGTTAATGTCGGAATTAATGACTGCTTCCCCTTCACTTGTTCTCTCCGTATCGTCACGTCCGCTCTCTTTCCCCTCACTCCCTCACTCCCTCAACCGTTATATTTCCCCTCACTCCCTCACTCCATCAACCGTTATATTTCCCCTCACTCCCTCACTCCATCAACCGTTATATTTCCCCTCACTCCCTCACTCCATCAACCGTTATATTTCCCCTCACTCCCTCACTCCCTCACTCCATCAACCGTTATATCCCGGTTGAAGGACACAACTGTTGAGGTGAAGTCCACCATCATGTCTCCAAGTCCAGTGTCATGTCTCCAAGTCCACCATCATGTCTCCATGTCCAGTGTCATGTCTCCATGTCCAGTGTCATGTCTCCAAGTCCACCATCATGTCTCCATGTCCAGTGTCATGTCTCCATGTCCAGTGTCATGTCTCCATGTCCAGTGTCATGTCTCCAAGTCCAGTGTCATGTCTCCAAGTCCACCATCATGTCTCCATGTCCAGTGTCATGTCTCCATGTCCAGTGTCATGTCTCCAAGTCCACCATCATGTCTCCATGTCCAGTGTCATGTCTCCATGTCCAGTGTCATGTCTCCATGTCCACCATCATGTCTCCATGTCCAGTGTCATGTCTCCAAGTCCACCATCATGTCTCCATGTCCAGTGTCATGTCTCCATGTCCAGTGTCATGTCTCCATGTCCAGTGTCATGTCTCCATGTCCACCATCATGTCTCCAAGTCCACCATCATGTCTCCATGTCCAGTGTCATGTCTCCATGTCCACCATCATGTCTCCAAGTCCACCATCATGTCTCCATGTCCACCATCATGTCTCCAAGTCCACCATCATGTCTCTATGTCCACCATCATGTCTCCAAGTCCACCATCATGTCTCCAAGTCCACCATCATGTCTCTATGTCCACCATCATGTCTCCAAGTCCACCATCATGTCTCTATGTCCACCATCATGTCTCCATGTCCACCATCATGTCTCTATGTCCAGCATCATGTCTCCATGTCCACCATCATGTCTCCATGTCCAGTGTCATGTCTCCATGTCCAGTGTCATGTCCCCATGTCCACCATCATGTCTCCATGTCCAGTGTCATGTCTCCATGTCCAGTGTCATGTCCCCATGTCCACCATCATGTCCCCATGTCCACCGTCGTGTCCCCATGTCCACCGTCGTGTCCCCATGTCCACCGTCGTGTCCCCATGTCCACCGTCATGTCCCCATGTCCACCATCATGTCCCCATGTCCACCATCATGTCTCCATGTCCAGTGTCATGTCTCCATGTCCAGTGTCATGTCTCCATGTCCTCCATCATGTCCCCATGTCCACCATCATGTCTCCAAGTCCACCATCATGTCTCCATGTCCACCATCATGTCTCCATGTCCACCATCATGTCTCCATGTCCACCATCATGTCTCCATGTTCAGTGTCATGTCCCCATGTCCACCATCATGTCCCCATGTCCAGTGTCATGTCCCCATGTCCAGTGTCATGTCCCCATGTCCACCATCATGTCCCCATGTCCAGTGTCATGTCCCCATGTCCACCATCATGTCCCCATGTCCAGTGTCATGTCCCCATGTCCACCATCATGTCCCCATGTCCAGTGTCATGTCCCCATGTCCACCATCATGTCCCCATGTCCAGTGTCATGTCCCCATGTCCACCATCATGTCCCCATGTCCAGTGTCATGTCCCCATGTCCAGTGTCATGTCCCCATGTCCTCCATCATGTCCCCATGTCCACCATCATGTCCCCATGTCCACTATCATGTCCCCATGTCCACCATCATGTCCCCATGTCCACCGTCGTGTCCCCATGTCCACCGTCGTGTCCCCATGTCCACCGTCGTGTCCCCATGTCCACCGTCGTGTCCCCATGTCCACCGTCGTGTCCCCATGTCCACCGTCATGTCCCCATGTCCACCATCATGTCCCCATGTCCACCGTCGTGTCCCCATGTCCACCATCATGTCCCCATGTCCACCGTCATGTCCCCATGTCCACCATCATGTCCCCATGGCCACCGTCATGTCCCCATGTCCACCATCATGTCCCCATGTCCACCGTCGTGTCCCCATGTCCACCATCATGTCCCCATGTGCACCGTCGTGTCCCCATGTCCAGTGTCATGACCCCGTGTCCACCATCATGTCCCCATGTCCACCATCATGTCCAGTGTCATGACCCCGTGTCCACCATCATGTCCCCATGTCCAGTGTCATGTCCCCATGTCCACCGTCATGTCCCCATGTCCACCATCATGTCCCCATGTCCACCATCATGTCCCCATGTCCACCGTCGTGTCCCCATGTCCACCGTCGTGTCCCCATGTCCACCATCATGTCCCCATGTCCACCGTCGTGTCCCCATGTCCAGTGTTATATTTCATAATATTCACTCTAATAAGGTGGACACCCTTATGTCCTATGTGTACACCTTCGTGCCCTCAGTGTACATATTTGTGTCCCTTTGTGTACATCCCATTTACAACCTACCCCCCCCCCATTCCCAGAACTCCCCCCACCCAATCCCCCTTAAATCCCCCCTAAACCCCCTTAAATCCCCCAAACCCCCTTAAATCCACCCCAAACCCACTTAAATACACCCCAAACCCCCTTAAATCCACTCCAAACCCCCTTAAATCCACCCCAAACCCACTTAAATACACCCCAAACCCCTTAAATCCACCCCAAACCCCCTTAAATCCACCCCAAACCCATCCCAACACTGCCCCAAACAACCGGCATTTACACATAACTTTCAATGTCAACATAAAATTAAAATAAAAACAATAATGGTCATATATTCATACAATTATTTATCTGTCATTATTCATAAAAAATTATTATTGCTTATTTCGTGTTTTGATTGGAATATTTGGGAATAACATCCAGTGTTATCTGATGGGTGTAACTCTCTGCCCGCCAAACACACACCGAAACTACGACGTTGGTACAACGTTCGAACAAGTTTTAACGCCACCTAACCAGTTATAACAACCAATATAGCAAGTTGTAACAACGTTCTAATACGTCATAAACACGTTAAGCCAAGATGTAACAACTTTATTACAAGTTGTAACAAGCGGAAAATAGAGACAGTTTCGGTTTGTGTTTCCAGGGTGTCATATCTGAGAGCGAAGCTTGGTGTCGGGGAGGGCAAAAATGACCTTTTATTTCATTAGTTGATGCATTTGTGTAGCTGTGCAATGTGTACCAGTTTCTACGTAATGTAAAGGAAATTTCTGTGATATATTAGTAATTTATTAATGGTGCTGACAGAAAATACAATAATATTAATATATATAATGGGTTACGTAGACATATTAAGACAAATAGTGATAATAATAGGTAATATAATGATGCTTGTTAAGGCAATGATTGGGTTGTCAATAAAGAGAGATGCCAGCCAATCCTGAAGCTTTGAAACCTGCACTATTGAACTCCAATAACACGTTATAGTACATATTTATTCGAGAACTGCTGCTGCAACTATGCAACAACTGTGTAATAACAATATCCATCCCGCCACAAATGTTATGGCATTAATGCAAACACTTAAATGTCAAGGTTGTCTAATACCTACCAACTGGGTGCCAAGTCATGTAGGAACACTCGGGAGTGACATTGCAGAGAAAGTTGTAAAACTTGCCTCTAAGAATAGACTGTGGATTGTCACATGCCTAAGAGTCCAGTGAAATTAATTGGAAAACAGTTGGAGATTGAGCAATGCAGAAGATGTACAGGGACCACAATGCAACAGCTTCAACATCAGGATCTACTGGTTGGTACAAGAATGCACCCAACTACAAATAACATATTGTTATGAAAGGGGATGAATAAAAAATCAGAGGAGTACTTGCATCACATCAGGGTTGGATACCCATGAGCACGGTAAACAGGCTTACAAGCCCCAGAAGAAGACAGGAAATGTCACCATTGTAGACAAATGCCTTACAGACCACTAAAGCATTATCTAACATACTGCACAGTTACAAGTGCTTAACGAATTGTCAAACGCATTGGATATAAACTTCATGAAGCCAACGACAAGTCACAAACTTTGTTGAGTGTGTTGGCCAAACAGGTTCAGAGCCAATGCAGGAATATCACTGCAAAAAACAAAAATTACTATAACAATTTCACTATATCGTAAATGACTAGATAACAACAGAAAATGTCATGCAATACATTTCCAGCCAGTACTCCAACTTTGCTGTGTGTGTTTTTTTCTCTCTCTCTCTCCCTAATATATATATATATATATATATATATATATATATATATATATATATATATATATATATATATATATATATATATATATATATATATATGTCGTACCTAGTAGCCATAACGCACTTCTCAGCCTACTATGCAAGGTCCGATTTGCCTAATAAACCAAGTTTTCCTGAATTAATATATTTTCTAAATTTTTTTTTCTTATGAAATGATAAAGCTACCCATTTCATTATGTATGAGGTCAATTTTTTTTATTGGAGTTAAAATTAATGTAGATATATGACCGAACCTAACCAACCCTACCTAACCTAACCTAACCTAACCTATCTTTATAGGTTAGGTTAGGTAGCCGAAAAAGTTAGGTTAGGTTAGGTAGGTTAGGTAGTCGAAAAAACATTAATTCATGAAAACTTGGCTTATTAGGCAAATCGGGCCTTGCATAGTAGGCTGAGAAGTGCGTTCTGGCTACTAGGTGTATATATATATATATATATATATATATATATATATATATATATATATATATATATATATATATATATATATATGTCGTACCTAGTAGCCAGAAATCACTTCTCAGCCTACTATGCAAGGCCCGATTTGCCTAATAAGCCAAGTTTTCATGAATTAATGTTTTTTCGTCTACCTAACCTACCTAACCTAACCTAACCTAGCTTTTTTTGGCTACCTAACCTAACCTTACCTATATATATAGGTTAGGTTAGGTTAGGTTCGGTCATATATCTACGTTAATTTTAACTCCAATAAAAAAAAATTATCCTCATACATAGTGAAAAGGGTAGCTTTATCATTTCATAAGAAAAAAATTATAGTAAATAAATTAATTCAGGAAAACTTGGCTTATTAGGCAAATCGGGCCTTGAATAGTAGGCTGAGAAGTGAGTTCTGGCTACTAGGTACGACATATATATATATATATATATATATATATATATATATATATATATATATCAATCAAACTGTAAACTCACACCCCAGAAGTGACTCGAACCCATACTGCCAGGAGCACTCTGCTGGCGTACAGGATCCCTTAACCGCTCGACCAACACGACCGGACACAAGAGGATGGTTGCCGAGGCTATTTCCATCCCCCCACCGACACTCGGTTGGTAATCTTGGGCATGGTATTTTATCAAATCACCTCATTCTTTGGGGCACATGTGAGGAACACAAATGCGAACAAGCCTGAATGGTCCCCAGGACTATATGCAACTGAAAACTCACACCCCAGAAGTGACTCGAACCCTTAATTACTGCCAGGAGCACTCTGCTGGCGTACAGGATCCCTTAACCGCTCGACCAACACGACCGAACAAAAGAGGATAGACAAAAAAACATGGTTTTTTGTCCATCCTGAAAAAAACATGTTTTTTTCAGGTTTTTTTTCATGCGAGGGAAATCTTCGAAACCTCTTTACCGATTGCTTTGAAATTTTGACACAACGTTGCATTCGAATAGGTGAGTGTTTTTTATATATCTACTATACACATGCCTCACCTGTGACAGGAAAAAACATGCTTTTTTGAAAAGCAGCGCCATCGTTTGGACGTAAGAGCAACTCTCGCTATAATCTTCTAAAGTTCTTCACCGATTGCTTTGAAACTTTGACACAACGTTGCATTCAAATAGGCGCGTCTTTTTATATACCTACTACATAGATGCCTCACCTGTGACAGGTAAAAACATGCAATTTTGAAAAACAGCGCCATCTGTTGCACATAATGGCAACATGCACGCTATACTAATCATGTCACGAATTCTATTTCAATGTTTCCGATTGCATTGATGAATTTTATTTTCATAGATTTTGATTTATTTAATTTTTTAGTGAATTATTTTTTGTGATATTGTTATCTTGAGGTTATCATGAGATGATTTCGTTTTTTTTTTTTTAGTGTCCCCGCGGCCCAGTCCTTGACCAGGCCTCCACCCCCAGGAAGCAGCCTGTGACAGCTGACTAACACCCAGGTACCTATTTTACTGCTAGGTAACAGGGGCATAGGGTGAAAGAAACTCTGCCCATTGTTTCTCGCCGGCGCCCGGGATCGAACCCGAGACCACAGGATCACAAGTACAGTGTGCTGTCTGCTCAGCCGACCGGTTTGTGTTGGAATTGAGCTGTGTTGTTTACCATACCGTTCATTTCGAAAGTATAAGTATAGATGCCACACCTGTGACAGGTAAAACTATGCTTTTTCTTGAAAAAACAGCGCCATCTGTTGGACATAAGAGCAACACATCCTGTAATCTCCGAAAGTCTTTCTCCAATTGCTTTGAAATTTTGACACAATGTTCCATTCGAATACACGCATGTTTTCATATGCTTACTACATTGATGCCACACCTGTGACAGGGAAAAACATGCTTTTTTGCAAAACAGCTTCATCTGTTGCACATAATAGCAACACACACACACACACGATACTAAATATGTTACGATTCCATTTGAACGTTTCCGATTGCATTGATAAATGGAATTTTTATAGATTACAATTTATTTTCAATTTTATTTAATTATTTTGTGTGATATTGCATTGGAATTGAGCTGTGTTGTTTACCATACCGTTCATTTCGAAAGTATATGTATAGATGCGACACCTGTGACAGGTAAAAACATAATTTTTTTAAGTAACTGTTTTTCTTATATTTCAGTGATGGGAACATCAGATCATTTGATGTTCCCAATTCTCTGATGGGAACATCAGATCATCTGGGAATGCATCAGACGAGGGAGTGGAGAATGGTGGGGAGGACGAGGGGACGGGGGAGTGGGGGATGGTAGGGAGGATGACGAGAATGGGGAGGACGACGAGACAGAGGAGGGGGGTAATTGTGGGGAGGACTAGGGGACGGGGGACAGGGAATGGTAGGGAGGACGAGGGGACGGGGAAGTGGGAGATGGTAGGGAGGACGAGGGGACTG